ACTTTGTTTATGACGAGGAGATCAGAGTGTGTGATTCCAGGTCCTCCTTTGCGAGGGATCTTGTCACCTCCCTGATACTCTTCGTCAACTTATCGAACAGAGAAACTGTTAAAGATCATACCGAGACATCAATCACGTAGATGATATAGTCTGCCAGCTCTCTGGAATAGTTTGCCGCAAGATTGTCACCACCACTCTCCACGAACAACAATTGACATTCAAACTTGGCTTGCAGGGTTTCAAGAGCACCCATATTCGCGCTGATGTCTTCACGAATAGCAGCATGGGGACATCCTCCAGTCTCGATAGCAAGGATGCGAGATTCGGGAAGAGCTTTGTTTCTGATCAGAAATTCTTGATCTTCGCGAGTGAAAATATCATTCGTAACGGTAGCTGAACATTGCATGGTCAACGATTGAGCAACCTATGGAATGCATGAAAAAGATAGTAAGCGTACCGATGTTATAGTCTTTCCTCAGCTTCTGGCAAAGTGCGAGAGTCAAAGCAGTTTTTCCTGATCCAACTGGTCTGAGATCCATCGTGTGCTCTATGAACAAGTTCTTCTGAATCTGTAGTTGTATGCGTACCCTCCGATCCCGATCGTGAAACCTCTTTCAGTAAAGTTTCTTGCAGAAAAATCGGGCATGTCTCTATCGGAATACTTGCCTATGGCCAGATCAGTGAGAGTTGCGGCGCGAACCATTTATAAAGTGCTTACCAGCATCAGTGTAGTGTTCATGGGTATGTCCATGGTCCCCATGCTCGTGCGAATGACCTCCTTCACCATGAGAATGCGAAGCAGGAGGTGAGTTTCCCGAGGAAGTTTTGTCGATGAATGGTACGTTCATGATGGCAAAAGAAAGGCGATTGAGGCTGGAGCTGAGAGCGTTATCTCGAGTCTTGTGGGCGGTAGTTATCGGTAGATAAGATTTCGTTCACATGACGCTCCAGTGGGTGCATGCCTTGGCTTTGGGGAGATGAAAATCCACCAAGTTTCCTGGATTCTGAGGGAGGGTCAAGCATAAACTAGACGGTTCGAGGAGCGGTAGCACGCGAGTATCGATGGTGGACGTCGCGTTTGAACTTCGAGGCTACAGCGTGTTGCACACGTGACCGTTTCTTCCATAGAGTGAGGGGTGTTCGGCGTTCGCCGCTACACCTCTCACTCTCTCGCTTTGAACTCTGCATGAGGGTTACATGAAGAGATCCAGCGCTCTTGTCGACTATGGTAGCTCAAGTGAAGAGGAAAATGTCATTGAAAAGCCTGTCCAAGTGAAGAAGAGGTGAGCAATATAGTAAAGCAATATACTTCTCACTCGTTGACATGGAACGGTGTAGGAAACTTCCTCCTCTGCAATCCTCCGTGGTCGTTCCTGTCCCAAAAGACAACCCTTCTCTTCATCAAGGACGCATTCGCTCTACACCTCACGTAGAAGGTCAATGGGCAGTTCACGTCTACGTATCAGTGATAGTTGAACGAAGATCTCCACTACACCAGCTTCTCCAGAACGTCCTCACAACGGCGAAAGAGTCATGTCCTGCTTTGCAACTCGTACCGGGCCTCGGAAACCCTGACGGAGATCACAAAACAATCGAACTACATGTATCGTTATCGAGGCCGTTGTTCGTCCGCGCATATCAGAGGGAAGAAGTGAAGCGATCTGTAAGACGCCTCGCTCAGTTGAGCCCACCGTACGTTCTCCGTAGTAGTGACTGTTACTCGCATCTGGGCTTACCTCTGTTTCCCAGATTCAAAGCGTCATTCAGCTCCTTCTCAAGGCTGACCAACGATGAGAACACCAGAACATTTGTTGCATTGGATATTGGTGGAGGGTTTCCAGAGGTGCGTCGGCCACGCCTTTTCATTTCGATAATAGGGATATCTGACGTTTTATCAGCTCAAATCTTTGACAGAACGCCTCACATCAGCCCTCCAATCCTTCCGCCAGAAAGTGTACTACGACGAGCCCAAATTTCACGCGTCAATCGCCTGGGCATTACTCGAACCTCCTCTATCCAGCCGTCCAACCCAGTCGTCGCGTTCTACTGCTCCAGGCTCATCAGACTATACTGCTTCAGCCATAGACGAGCAAGTCGACCTTCCTACTACGATTGAGTCGACATCGATAGAGTTTCCGCGAATCCCTCAACTTCCCGAATCGACTGCAACTTTACTGAACGAGAAGTACAAGGATACTCTTTCGGTGAACCGTGTCTCTACTTTCGACGTCAGAAGGGTGCACTTGAGGATTGGGAAGGAGGTTTTTGTTTGGCAGCTGGATGGAGAGTAGTTACACATAGGTTTTTTCTGCCAGATGATATGAACTAGTTAGGTTGTCACTTGCGCGCAGTATTTCAACGCATTAATGGGGTAGTGGTAACCTGGGTCGTTGCCATCATAGATGAATATCATACGGTCTTCTCGACCCGCCGGGGGTTCGATTCCCTCTTAATGCATCGGTGTAGTAGAGGAACATTTTTGCCGCTTTCCACTGATGGTTCTTTCTTTGTCCTACCTACTCTCAGCTCATATACGATTCACGTCAATTCTCATACCCTTCGTGGCATATCGACAGGAGGCAACTGGTGTCGCTGCGTGCGCAGCTCAGTGACGTGCTTGACCAAGCTTACAGCTTAACCCTTGACCACCACCACCACCAACCCCCATTCCAAGGCCATACGCTTGTCATGGATATGCGCCGACGTGTACCTTTCAAATTTGCATCAGCAGCCGAGGATGAGAGCGAGAACGTAGTTCTCGATGAACAAGGTGTGTAGTGAGGTGAGTTTTAAGCAGGTTCACAGCTCACTTGACTCAAACACCTGCACTACTCGGTTTTAGAGCAAGACGAACTTATACAAAAGCTACGAGATGAGAATAACCAGTCGAACAAGTGGTACGAGTTCGGTGCTGTCGGAATTCTATCGCTCTCTGGACTATTGTGAGTCAGGAACGTTGTGTTCTATGATGATACTGACCTTGTCATAGGCATCTAATATACCTGATCAACCCTTCGAATGATCCCCTTTCGTTCACAAAATCTAACGGAGACTCCAGGACTGACCCAGGAGTCCCTCTTCCTCGATTATTCACCCTACTCAACCTCTTTCTTCACCTCAACCTTTTCCTTCTCCTCAACCCACGTTCTCTGCCGTTTCTTGTCCCGCTGCAGCAGACAAGGCTCCACTTCCTCACCCACCAGCATGCTTCACACTTTCCGTTTCCGTTATCTCTACCACTGTCGTTCGTGCATACGTACACACTTGCGCTGGTGGTTCCGGCGATATGCGTGTTTATACGCACAACGTATACGACAATTTTCTGGTGGTGCGAAACAGCTGTGGTGGGATTTGTCATACAGGCGGTCCAAGAAGCTATCTTGAAGGGAGATGAAGGGATCGAAGGCTTAGTGGGGATGAAGTATCATGCACCCGGTGCTTAATACCTTAGTTCGAGCTAGGGTCGGGTAGGCTGGATATTGTCGATGATACGCCTTAGGTTACATTGGTAGCCACCGCTGACCTTCGTGTTATTAACGGGCACAGTTTTGAATGATCTATAGGCTCGAGACACAGATCTACTTCACACAAATGCACCAATGTTTGATCGTCGTAACCTAGAAGGTCCGGAAGACACCAAAATCCTGTAGGTTACATTACTGTTCATCGATCATCACGACGCCACCCTCGTCTCAACACATGGAATCATTTCGCCCGCATTGTGTCTGTTCTAGTATTGACCGCTTGGACCCCTAGTTGAAGTTCCACGTCGAATGCTACAAAAGGTAGCTCCCCCGCGCCCTAGCGGGATCCCCTGTGGCTCCAGCCCACACTTCATAAAAGTGACTAACGATGACTGAATAGACTTCATTGCGCTCACAAACCCATCTATCTCGACTCGGGACAGATACCGCAATAGAAAGAGTCTATCTCCGTTCATTCAACCTCAATACCGCCCTCGGCAAACTCCGGTGGCAATGGGCATACGAGAACCTACCTACTCCCGACGAAATTCCGTCTCGTTGCCTGTTTCACATCCTCTGTCATGAGTTGGCAACTTGGCGTCCGGCACCAATGCCTACCAATACATAGACCAACTGTTCATCCTTTTCCCGTGCTGTAGGGTTTGAGCCGCACCTGTCCATACAGGTGAGTCGAGTATAACCCGCCGTGTCGGATGTCGTCTGATGGCAACTCGAGACGGTGCGGCTCGTACGTAGCTCGTATCTACCTGGCTCTTAACCCGATGAATAGTGTGGGTCTTAGTTCTCGAAGCCGTTCAAACATCGACGTCCTTAAGGACGAGAAGAAAGCACCCCCGTTTACGGGGACGTGGTGGATCAATCTTCTCGTCCCACAGTACCCTTCCGCCAAGTCCCTGGAACTAACAGATACGGAACGTTCAGACGCCTTGCCCTTTCCGCCAGAGAAAGATTCATCATTCCTGCATCTTCGGCGATTCGTCGATTTGGAGCACACTGCTGTTTTTCTCCCGCGACGTGTGTCATAGCTGTATGCAACTTACATACGCGTCTCCTTACCTGAAGCCTCAAGGCAACTCGAGGTATCCTGCCGCGTCGATGTCTCCATCAAGTTTAGTAGTCGTTTCCATATCTCAGTGTTTCAAAGAACGCCGAGAAAAAGATTTTCCCGGACGGTGATGGAGTGCTCCGAGATCCCCAAAAGCACTCTCACCAATGCTCATTGGCCTCCGGATCTCTATGCAGGACCAGGTCGGGCGAGGTCGAGACTCGTTTCAAACTTAAAGCCACTCACCCGGCTTTGGCGCGTCCCACATGTAACTGACAAAGGAACGACTCCACGGAACTTGCCCTGTATGTATAGACACAGGGGACATACTAGTACTTAGGTAGGTACAGGTCCGTTCCGGGTAGGGAAACTGACGCGTATCAGAACGTTCCAAAGAAAATCCTCAGCCACACAGACGCGACGTAGCTTTGTCAGGTGCATTCAGGTTGTATTCAAAGATGTTGTAGATGGAGGAGGGGAGGTGGAAAGGGAGGTGGAAAGGAAGGGAAGGAGAGTGGTATCATGTATAACTAACGAGACAGCGAAGATTGGGCGAAAAGCTGTAAGTACAAGTACATAGAACATTTGTATAGACATAAGTTAAAATAGATAAGGTCGAGGAGACGATTCCCAGCTCGGAAAGAAAGACAAATCGAGACCAGCTTGGTAGAAAGATAGGCGGGAAGGTGTGTGAATGGATGGACGGAAAAGCCTAGCATATAAATACGACACAGTAGTAAACAAATGTTGCCAATTCTACATCCAAGATTCGAAAAAAGCCCAAGAGAGAGAAAAAGTAGGAAAGGATAGAAAGCATAAAAACACATGACGCGGGTATCGAGAAGGGGGGAGAGGACAGGGGGAAACCAAACCAAAACCAAAATCTAAACGAAACGACTGCCTGTCGTATTCTCTTCTACTTTATGAAGAATCGTTTTTCAGAGTCGTCCATCGAAGAAAGTCCTTCGTGGATCTTCAAAATTTACTCACTCACTCTCATCCTCTTTCTCCCACCGGCCCCTGGATCCTCCAGTTCGTGATCCGACAACCTTTTGCTACCTCTCCCAGATGAACTCGGCGGCTTCCTATCGCCTCCCGTGACTGCACCCGTGCTAGCCTGAGCAGAGGAACCAGGACCGACACTACCCGCAGCCGCAGCCGCACCACCCCGTCTCCCACCCCTCTCATGTACATAATTGCAAGGCAAACTCCTCCTCGCACAAGATCCGCAGCTGGGATGTGCTCCGTCGCATTTTGTCTTCCGAGCTGCACACAGACCACGAATCAGTTTCTAAAGCTTCTCCAAAAGTCCAGATCCAAAACTCACCTCTACAGAAGTTACACGCCACAATTTTGGGTCCGCTCGTGCTGGGTAACCTCCCTGTCGCTCGCACCATACCGGCGGTAACACTATTGATGGTTCCCACGTTGACAGCTGAGCCGCCTACGCCCAATGATTCGACTGGTAGTCCACCTGCTTCGGGGAGAGGGTTACCCGCACTGGTAGTTGAACTTCTGCCCCTCGACACCTCGCTTGCCCTCGGAGGTCCCGGGACGTTTGGATGATACCCGGCAGCCCCTAGAGGGCCGCCACTCTTTGAGGGCGCTGTAGCCGCACGTTTCCTAGACGTCGCCTGTTGCTGTGAAGGTGGGATATGAGGTGAAGGCAACCTGTGATGATGGTGAGGCGAGAGATGAGCACTCGCGCTTCCCGACGAGCTTGAAGGATGAGGTGAGACGTGAGACGGAGGCCCACTTGACGCAGACAAATGGTGGTGAGGTGAAGACAAGTGAGGAGGAGGCGGCAGGTGGTGTGGGGGTGAGCGTGCATGTTGAGGGTGGGGCGGGGGAAGATGACCTCCCGGAGGTGGTAAGTGATGAGACGAGGAAGACCTAGAGTGATGTCCAGACGGTGGACCATGGGGAGCTCGTTGGGGAGAGCGCCTGGACGACTGGTGATGCCTTGCAGTCGGATCCGGCAAACTTAAGGTAGCGATATGCGGTAGCTCGTATCCTCCTCTGTCCCTCGGATCTCGCTCCCGATCTAAAGGCCCAGTAAGACTAGATATGCTCGAGACCCGGCTCCTACCGTGTGCGGGTGGAGGAGGAAAATCTGCCGAGATCGACGGGAGGGTCGTATGCGCCTGAGCGTAGGCAGTAGAGGAAGGTGGCCTATACGACGAGGGAGGATGGGACAAGTGTGCCGGCGGGTACTCATTCACGGACCCGTGCCGACTTCTCCCAATCACCGACGACCTTGAACTGGGCCGCAGCTCATTCATATCAACATCCTCGTCCTCATCATCCTCCGCTTCCGCGTCCTGGCTCCCGGTGCCACTGCCCTCGTCGCCGTCGCCTTCAAAATCTTCGCTCTCTTCGCGACTCCCACTGGCTTTGCTCCTTCGAGAACCTCGGACAGACCCAGCCGCCGATCCATTACCGTTAGTCGACTTGCCATCCTTCCCGGCCTTCTCCTTATTGGCATCCTTGTCTTTCTCACCCGCGGCGCCACCTTTATCTCTCTTCCCTTTCGCGCCTCTTCTCCTCCCCTGTGTTTGATAATCGCATGGGTTGCTCCTTTTCAGACACTGTCCACACGCCGGCCTAACACCATCGCATTTCAACTTTCGTGACCGACAAAAGTTGCACGCGACGGTGATCTTTTTAGGCCTGCTCTTCTCCTTCTCCCCGGGCCCGTCGGGCGTTTCCTTTTTGGTGGACGCACGACCAGACGAGGCGGCATCGGAAACAGGCGGGATGTGTTGCCCACCACGCGAGGACGCGCCACGGGAGGAAGCTGACGCCGAGACCGTAAGGTCAGGACCATGTCTGGGAGTAGAAGCACTGCTACTACCCGTGTCAATCGCCAACACGGGCCTAGAACTTCCGCTACTTGAGTGTGAGTGTGAATGCGAATGATGATGCTG